ACTCATACTCCTCAGCACTGCGGCGGCCGAAATCCATCCAGCCCAGGTAGTCACGGTCGCTTATCCTGTGGCTGGAGTCCTGGCCATCCAGGTGCTTGCTGATATACATCCGGTCAGAAGAAGCTGCAAGAGAGAGGAGTATTGTGTCTCAGAGCATCCCTCGTCCCGTTTGTAAATGAGGCCGATTGAAAAAGCATGGCAAAATAGAAAGTGCCCCTTGTGAAGTGTTAAAGGGCTGTCACAATAGAGACATTGCTGGTTTAAAATAGAGGAGGAAGACCACGTCTGTGTGACTGGAGATGTCAGTGGGTGTTGCAACCAAATTCAGCAAACAGAACAAAGCCACGAGCTTTTTTCATTTTAGTTTGGTTTTCAGTAAAGGCTTACAAGTCACAGCAGTTTTTCCTCACAATTGTCCACAGACATTTTGTTTTCTAAACTTCATCACCATTGACTAATGTAACTCATTACAATGTCTAACCAATCCCTTGTTATATTTTTTGCCTTTCTCTTCCTCCAGCTTATTTACTTATTTTTACTTCCTTCTCATCCCTGTTAACCTTCCAAGGCTGATTCTGTCTGCGTGTCAACCTTTTCACAGATTCTCTCAGTGTCTAAAGCGATCATGAAAAGCTGGTAAGGAAAGGTTTACCCAATAGAATTTTCTAGGCTGGAACGGAGCTCTAGAAGCCTAGTGGTAAGAAGCTTCATTGCAATCCCAAAGGCATGTGGTTCAGATCCATCAGCTGCTCCACAGGAGAAGGGTGGACAAACTTCTCCCATTCGATTAACTGCCTCAGAAAACCCACTGGAGGGTTAGCTATGGGTTGGTTCCCACTCAAAGGTACACAAAACAACAATCTTAGGGGAGCAGATCACTAGACCTGTCCCTCATAAAATCTCTGAGTGGGCTTGATGAGCCACCAGCTTGTCCATCTGTAGTCAAGCCCCCAAAGGAGCAATGTTTGCTTTAGTATTTACACGGGTTTGTGTTGCATTCTGTGAATATTTACGTGAATTGATTTCTTCCTGGCTTTCAAGGGAAGATCCTGAGTGATACACATGGTTACTCACTAGGCAGTTGACTGAAAGCTTAGAGGTTTGACTCCACTCCCAGGTGAACTGGAATAAAGACTTAGTGATCTATTTGCAAACAATCAGCCATTGAAAACTCTGGAGCACAGTTCTACTGGGAACCAAGGGGTCTTCAGCAGACTGTGTTGAATCAGCTGGTTTGTTTTTAACAATTAGGGATTTGCTTAAATTTCCCCTTGTAGCTCCGCCTCCAAGGCTATTCTCTGTATGCACATAGCCCTGAGCAGAAGCCCGCCAAGTGTTTGTCCTGCAGTTGCCCATTTTTAAATTTCACCCCTTGATATCTCTGAACATGTTTAATCCTCCTGAACCTCTTCTTGTTAGAGTAATACAAGTACGAGACATTGGAGTTAGAAACTTTTTTAAAAAAAGAAAAGATAGAGTTTTAATAGACATAGTTCATTAGTAATTAATTGCATAAAATGCAATGTTAATTAATTGCATAAAATGCAATGTATATGAATGATTGAAATACAATGATTATGAATGATTGTATGAAACACAGTGTAAATGAAAAACTATAAAACACAATGTACATGAAATGAAGCACAATGTAAATGAAAAATTGTATAAAATACAATGTACATGAATGAAACACAATGTAAATGGAAAATTGTATAAAATGCAATGTACATGAATGGAATACAATGTAAATGAATATTTACATATTTTACTATGCAAAATAATAAAATTTTTTAAGTTAAAAAATTGGAATGGATTCCCTTTATTAGTAGTAAGAATCTGTGCTGCAATCACAAAGGCGCCCAGTTCGAAACTGTCAGCTGCTCCACGGGAGAAGTATGGACTATGGATCAGTTCCAACTTGATAGTACACAACAACAACAGTTAGAGAAATACTGTTTAAAATTCTTAATTCGAAGGCTAACTTCTGCTTTAAAAACAGTATTTCTAAAAAAGACACAGAATCAAGATGAAAATCCATAGCCCAGAAGGGTGTGCAGGGAGGTAATGAAGAGGGTGACGGAATCAGTCATTCTGACCAACATGTAATAACCAGACCTGAAATTGGCCCTTAGGGCTTGGGGTTGAGTCCTGGAGGACAGGTGATTCGTGGGGATGTCTTTGGAAGTATATGACACAGTCTTAGCCCACAGGTCACAGAAGTGACCTCTTGATGCATGATATTAGTAAAACACCTTGTGTTATGCAAGCTAAGGGTCAAACAAGGTCCTTAAGGGAACGAGAGGACGAGCCCAGGCTACTTCAAGGATTAGAGGAGCCTGGGACTCTAGATAAACCCCTCTGGTTGGGGTATCAGCTTATTCACTGAATAAAGATATGGTAGAAGCACTTACCTGGCTTTAGCTGGTCTTCAGATAAAAACAACACAAAACAAAAAACAAAAATAACAAATTAAAACCAATACAACCTAAATCACTCAACTTATTCCCATCAGATTAGAACCAATGCAACTCCAAGCTAACCTTCCATTGAACTTCTGAGGCTATGAACTGCCCAGGAGGAAACTGCTCATCTTCCTCCTACAGAGGCCTGGGTTCCTACAGAACCCCCAGAGAGAGGTGTGACCTCTGCCTTAGCAACTTCCTCCAGACCACAGACCAGCCACCAGAGGTCCTTCTCCCGACTAAGCAAGCTAAATGAACAAAAGGAAACCATTTCACGGAACACTCCAGCCCTCCCTCTCCTGCCCCCTCCCCCCCAGATCCCCTTCCAGCCTAGCACTGAGAGAAGCCCAGCACATCACACGATTGCATAATTTAATGGGTGGAGGGAGAAGTGGGTAAAGGAAATGGGAAAGATCAGGTGTGAAAAACAATGTATATGAATTTGGTAAGTAAGCCAGCATAAGAGAAACATTTTCTTAAAAACAACAACAAAAAAACAACCCATGTGCAATGGTTCTGTTCTCACACGGTTTGCCATGAATTGGAATCCACTCAGAAACACCCCAAAAGAAGTCAAATGCAGCATGGCAAGGAAGCCTCTTGACAGAGGGAGCCTACTTGGCTCTGCCTAGTGCACCCGGTGGATGGTTTTATGGCCCACCTTTGTGGATGCAGTTGAAGGTACACCCCACAGCCAGAGCACTCAGCATCCGTGTTACAGGGAATAGCGGTGGTGGAATAATGATTTGGGCAAACTGTTTTAAGCCATGACCAAGGAGAACTCCAAATTGCTCCTGATTCCTTTCTCCCACGTCCCAGTTTGGTGACTGACAATGTCATTCCTTTTTAACTGCTGTTGCCGTATCTCAGCAAGGACCACATTCTGCTAGCGTTTCTAATTGTCATCATCTGGTGGGTCCCGGGTTCTTTGCATCTACGACAGCGATTATTTAATGAATCTGCGGACCCTTTTGGAGAGTTCTACAAAATGTTACGTTCATATTTATAAAATTAATTTAAATCTTGTCTCTTTAAGCCCTCCATAAAATGACTTGAACTTAGCAACTCGGAGGGAAAAAATTAGTTGAAAGAAAGCATTTTAAAAGATTCTTCTTATTAAGGTCCCTCAATACCCTACTCCTCAGAGTTTGCTACCAAGTCCTTTCAGAAAGTTTGAGTGTTTGGGGTGTTGGGGTGGGGGGAATGAGGAAAAGAAAATGGGGAAAAAAGTCTTTCCGCTTAACCTGTCACCTGCGCTTGCCATGCCGGTATCTCCATCAACGGGGCACTAGAAGAGAGGATTAAAGACCCAGCTGGATAGACGTGAGGCTTGGAGAGAGGCTATCCTTACCTTTCCGGACATGCTGGATATATTTGGCTAGCAGCGCTCCCAGGTGTGCTCGGGTATCGCCATTCACCCT